ATGGTATAATATTTAGTGGATCCTTTTATCCAAATCCAAACACTGATCTGAAAAGTGGAGCACTAATTATCTTGCTTAATGTTCCTAAGGTTCCTCTTCAGCAATTGTCTGACCTTTAATTTCACCTCACAACCTTCCAGTCACTTGTTCTGAACCTTAAACACTGAGGTCCTATGCTAAGATCTTTATAATTCTTCCTACAAGATAACATCAGGATAAAAGCCATCATCAATCTACATTGCCCAAAAACATCACTTAAACACTACACTAAAGGTGAAAATATCCATTAAAATCCTCGTCCTGATTATATAATATTAATCTATCAACTCAATATTTTCACTCTTATGGTTGTTGTTGCTGTGTGCACCCCTGGGAACACAGGATCAGTCCATTCTCCAACCCAGTGAAGAAAAACAGCCCCATTTCTCTGTCATAGCCTAGCGCTTTCGCCCACATGAGTGATGTGTTAAACAGTTGCTATAGATATCTTACTGCAGAGTGTAGGCAATACACAGAGTCTAAGGGAGTGTGAAAGTCATGCACTAGAGAACATAGGGAACGACTGAGAGCTGCTGAGAGAGTGATGGAAAGCTCTGTTTCTCTACAAGCCCACAAAACTGCTGTTGTTCCACTGAGCGCCTGTCGTATTCAACCCATAATCTAATGAGATGTTCCTGAATAGCTGGAGTATAGACTACCCCACAGTTGTGGAGCTGAAAAGGCACATTTGATGGACTCTCCTCCACGGTACATTATCTCTGAAACACTGCCTCGCCTTTGTCTTACTTCAAGCTTTTTCGTTGTAGCAAACAGACGCAACAGAGAACAGAAAGAAATAAAAGAAATGTGCCTCAACAAAGTGTTAATGAGCCTCAGAATCAATGAAAGAAAGACAGCAAATTGCAAAACATGTAGTTTGGTGATTATTATAACTTGCTACTTCTTCAAGGTGAATTGTGAATTATACAGAGCTGGATCCTGCTCAGTGTTGACAGTTTAGTGACGATGTCCTTTTAGACCCCTTTATCAACCCTATTAAAAAAAACTAGCAAAAAATCTTGTGGAGAAAGTCCTGCATTTGATACGGCTCTCCAGCTCACATCACAGTTGCTGGTTGTACAAATTGAGAGAATGCATTCACTCAACTCACTACCAATGTGTAAAGCCTTACAGTAGTGCTTGGACGAGTCAATGTTCACAACGACCAATCACTGATCACCACTGTTCCCAATGATCAATCACTGATCACCATTGATTTCAATGACCAATCACTGATCACCATTATTCCCAATGACCAGCCAATGGTCACCATTATTCCTGAATGACCAATCACTGATCACCATTGTTGTGAAAAAACCACTGAACACCATTGTTCCCAACAACCAATCACTGATTTCCATTGTTCACAATAACCAATCACTGATCACCATTGTTCCCAACAACCAATCACTGATCATCACTATTTCCCAATGACCAATCCCTGATCACATTTGTTCCCAACAACCAATCACTGATTGCCATTGTTCCGATAAATCATAAATCACTGTTCCTAACGATCAATCACTGATCACTATTTTTCCTGAACAACCAATCTCTGATCATATTAGTTACAAAAGATACAAAGGCCCTGACATTTATAACATAAAAATACAACAGACACCAAATAATGGAAAAAATTTAATTAAATCTAATTTCACTGGTTGAACTGTAATGTGTTTAGAAATCAGATTTTAATGCAAAAAAATTATAAACTTTTTTCTTTGAATTGTTTATCTAATTTATTGATTTTTATTCTGTCTATTTTTGTTTGTTTATATGTTGATTTTCACAATACATAAAATTTCTTTTTAATTAACAGGTATAATGCCTATCTGATTAAAGCCTTAGAGTGTGAATCATGTCAAACACGGAACACAAGCCCCTGGATTTTTAATTTACTTAATATCTTATTCTTAATTTTTAGATCTGCATTTTAATAATACAATATAGATCTACTGTATCTAGATCTTTTAATAACTGTACATTATTTGAGAATATGGTCTATTTTAGTGATCATTTTGTATTTGCTGCATTCATAAGTTTATATTTTTGTGGCTCTCTATGTTATAGAATATAATATAGGATTTTATCAAACATTCACTAGGAAGTGGTGGAGTGGAGCTTCAGGCGTGGTGTTAATCCCAACCTTCAGTTGTAACATAACTCCATTTCTGCTGAATCTCAGTTCCCAAGCTTGCGTGAATTAAAAAAAAAAAAAGATTTTAATGAAAAAAGAAAAGAAATGCTGTGTGGCAGATAGGTTTTGCTGTTATCTGTGTTCCTGTTTTAAAATATTGCATTGCAAAGAAGAGCACAATTACAGCAAACTAATGCATAATGTTCTGATATTCAAATGCAACTGTATCAATAAAAGGTCCTTTGTATTGGAAATGTATTCTCTGGATGCCATTGTGAATACATTTAAATACACAGTAAATTACAGCAAGGAAGTTATTATACTTCATAAACATACTTAATTCTAAGAGGCCTGTTTGGATCTAAGCTTGGGTGTGTACTTAAGTATGTACTTAAATGCCAGTCATTTTTTGGGAGATGGAAGGAAAACAGAGAACCAAAATAAATGCCGGTGCAGTTATTGTGTGAAATGGAAGGTTTTCAAGCTTTTCAGAAGAAACGGAGCAAGGAATGAGGCTCAATCCATCACTGAGGAGTGAAGATGCTAAAACACTGAGATCTCAATGTGTTTCTGATCAGAAAAAATGTGTAGTTCAGAAGCAGAGTGCGGAATTGCAGACATTTAAAGACAACATGAAATTAAAAACTGACCTTTTCACCTTATCATGTCCTTGATCCATTGGTACATGATTCATCTGTGTTAATCACTTAAAATACAAAATACATTTTATAGTGCAGTGGGTAGTGTTGACGTCTTACGACTCCATGGTCCCCGGTTTGATCCTGAGCTCCCTGTGGTCCTGGGTTTCATAAGCTTCTCTGGTTTCCTCCAAACTCCCAAAAACATGCCGGTAGGTGGATTGGCTATGTTAAATTGCACATAGGTGTAACTCAGTGTGTGAATGTGTGTGCATGGTGCCCTGCGATAGACTGGTGTCCTGTCCGGAGTGAACTCTCCCCAGTATAGACTCTAGATTCACCATGACCCTAACCAGGATAAAGTGCTTACTGAAGATGAATAAATAAATGAATGAAAGTTTAAATCTACTAAAATCTACCTAAGTGCAGCAATTTTTCCCCATCTCTAAACAGCCTCTGACTTTTGGCTACATCACTGTCATACTTGCAGATAGGATTAAAAACATAATCATCATCATCAAAGACATGTTGAGACACCCACTTTTGATAAGCCGATCAAAAATCTGATGGATAAAACCAATGGCCCGCCCACCCAAATATGCTGCTTCACTCGTAAATGTGGCAAATTGTAAGCTTTTTTAAAGCCTGACATGTGAAGACAAGAGATGTAAAACTGATTGCCATTAAAGTCTTTCAGTTTCATTGAGAGCTGGAGCGCTTCTTTCTAATAATGTACGGTATTGTGTGTAATTATGTGTCATTGTGTGAACATTAGAGTACATGAATCTCATTTGTATGGTATGCATGTGTGTGTTTTTTTTAGTTGAGTGTATCAGATTTTCTGCTTCACACATTCTTTAGGGGTCTTCAGTTGTTCTTCTGGGGAACCTTGAAGGTTACAGTATATGTAGAAACCTATAAATGAGTGTTTCTCAGTCAGAAAGTAAAACCTCTTTAGGAAGCTTAGAACCCATAACTATCCAAAGAATACCTGAAGAACATTTATTGGGTATTTATTTTTTTACTATTATTAAATGTAACATCTGTATGATCTGTACTTGGACCTGACCTAAATTTACAGGTAAAATTAAACGCAACATTATTTTTGTTTAGACCAACACATGGCAAAGAGCAACGTGTCCTTTAGTGCAATTCCTTTTCAACATTTTTGGTATCATCTTAGTCATTGTTGCTGTGAGTGTTCTCTCCTCAACTTCCCCATGTAGGCTTTAACTGTGTAGTCTGGGCAGCACCCATAGTTCACTAAGCCAGTTATATTCTGCTTTCAGTGGTAATTTGTCTTACCAATTCTGTCCCAATACACATCTACCAGTTAGAAAGTTTAGCACTAATTAGTTCACTCGTGCCAAATGCAACATTATTCAGACCTGTATTTAATGATTTGTTCTTGATTTATAATTGTATGGAAAAATAATATTCATTGGTTGTCCCTTGAGTGGTGTCCATTTAAAACAGTCCTTTAAAGCAATCTGATTTTCAGCACTTCAGTCTGGAGCAACACTTGGCTACCCCGAGTATTTCTCTCCTCAAAGTCTCCTGCGTAGGCTTCTTTTATGCCATTTGGATTGCATTCATATTTGTGCCACATGCCGTGTAAATCATCCTCAATATGATTCATACTTGTACAAAAAAATGGTTATGGATCTTACAGTAGCAACAACTTCATTCTATATCTTGCTTTCAAGTTGCAAGTAGAACCATTTTAGACCCCATGAAGAACCATTTGTCTAAGATTGCAAGGTAATTTGCAATAGTGTGTAAAATGTGTTCCATATTTTAAAAGATTTTTCTGGTTCCTCATACTCATACAAAAAGGTTCAGTCTAGAGCTTCATGAGCTGGTCTGAGAGCCGTGATTTTATTCTGTTGATGTATTTGCTTTTGAAACAGGAAGTCAGAGAGGTGGTGTGTTGCAGTGCTTGACTGATTTACACAACAGCCAATAGCATTTGAGATACGCTACACCCCCGCCGAATCCAAACACATTTTAATAAATAAACGCACTTTTTTAGCTAGTAGTTTATCGAGCTAGCTAAATATGGAGAACCCCAAAAAGTTTAACGAGAGCCTTTGAGGGGCATTTTTTACTGTCACCTTCACCCGCAGCTGTCCACTTTAATGAGCATGACATCTTTTTGTTTTTGGAGTTATACTGTAAATATAACAGGGGGAGGGGCACAGTGGCTTAGTGGTTGCCTCACACCTCCGGGGTTGGGGGTTCGATTCCCACCTCTGCCCTGTGTGCGTGTAGTTTGCATGTTCTCCCCGTGCTTCGGGGATTTCCTCCGGGTACTCCGGTTTCCTCCCCCAGTCCAAAGACATGTGTTGTAGGCTGTGAGAGTGTGTGTGCGATTATGCCCAGTAATGAGTTGGCACCCCGTCCAGGGTATCCCCCACCTTGTGGCCCGAGTTACCTGGAATAGGCTCCAGGCTCCCTGTGACCCTGTAAGCAGTACAGAAAACGGATGGATGTTAGTTGATTGGAGGTCAACTAACCATGGAGCCGATGGTGGCGGTGAGTCGCACGGTCATCACCAGGAGACAGGAGACAAATCTTAGTGATAGTTAATATTATATTCCTGACTCTTACTGATAGAGCTGCTTTGACGGAGTATAAAGATGGAATCATTCTCGATATGTCTGAGGTAACAACATTTCTGCACTGAACAGCTCTAAGCTGGTAAAACAGTCTTCTGAAAAGTCACAAAACCACCAACTTGCACAAATTCCACCCTCTTCCAAACGGATAAACTCAAAACATTTGTTCTCAATCAAGTTATTGCTGGAAAACGGAATAGTGTGCGGGAAGAAGCAAAGCGAAAAACTCAAAGCCAGACCATATTTACTGCTAATAAGATGCTACTGTACAGCAAACATACCTTTGGGGGCGGGACGTACACATTCTACAGAGTTTTTAATTGGATGAACACAAGACTAGTACAGGATGAATCATCAAAACATTTTAATAATTTTCCCACAAGTGATGAACTATAAAATTTAAACTTTTTTCCCCCAAGATATACTTTTGTATTGGTGTCCATATCACTAAGGAAAGAGTACAAACAGCTCTGAAACACCAATTTTGAGTTCAGGGGAAATTTAAAGGGTTTCTTTGCTTAAACGTTAAATATAAACCTACAACTGTGTTATTTATTATTATTAAATATTCCATTCTAGACTTGAACAGAGGATGACGCCACCACCCAATGACTGTGTAATATTTCATCATTATTTGTGGTGTGATGACGCAGAGCCGAACGAAACAGAAATGGATGTTTGAGAAAGCTGTGTAGAGCTGGTGCAAGCCTAAACTTCTTAATCTGTTTAATTACTCAACTGAATGCACGGAAGCACGCGCTGTTGCGTCTTGGTCATGCTACTGTCCAAATATGAAACACACGCCATCATTAGGATGCTTAACATCCGTGGTGTACTATATTGACACACTATTTAGTACAGTGGGATGCGGTTTGGGAACGCAGCCCATGACTTCATCACGTCGCCAAAAAGGGACGGGGCCGTGGGCGGCACGGAAGAAGGGCAGGGGCGTGGCTAGAGAGGATGCTGCGAGAGAGAAAGGTGGTGTGTGTGTGTGTTTGTGTGTGTGTGTGTTTGTGTGTGTGCGCCTGTGAGCCTGTGTGCGCGCGCGTGCATGACATCACCCTCCTCTCGCTTCCTCCAAACCGGCGGCTTTAGGAGGAGCGGCAGTCCTGCCATACACTCGCGCGCGCACGCACACACTCACACACGCGCATACACACACCGAGTCGCGCGACGCTACCGGGGGATTTAAACCTGTATCTACCGCCAAATTGAGCTGCTCGGATCTCGGAAAACGCATCCATACGGGATTATTATTATTATTACTTATTCAATTAGACGTGTATTTTTTTTTATTTGAAGATGTGACGGGGTTTTTGCGCGTGCACGAGGAAAAGGAGCGCTGTCATTTCAGTTAGGAGGAAAAAAAGGTAAGAGCAAGTTATGAAGGCTGACAGTAAAACGAGTGCAATTGGGGAATTAACTGCATTGAGTGCATTTGTTTGTTTGTTTGTTTGTTTTGTTTGTTTTTTGTTTTTTGTTTTTTTGAGATTTATAGATTTTTTTAAATGTGCGTCTCATGCATTTCTATGTGATCAATCAGGACTTGGTTTGTGACTCGGATGCTTTGGCTTGCATCAGTTTTCTTTCCTTTAATGTACACCGTAACGTGCATGTTTCACGTGCATCCGATGTTCGACGTGGTGTACAGTGTTTAATATGCTGTTTAATGTTTAAGGTACATACAGTGATAAATGCGCGTGATACCCCACAGAGCCGGTGTCAGTGAATACCATATCCCATACAGATGTCGGCTATTTCAAGTGATGAAAATGTAGTTTATATGCCATATGTGAAAATGTCACCTATACTGTAAAGTGCATATAGTGTTGATTTTGTAAGTGTTTCTGAAGATGAAGCTGGGACATGGAGGAAACAGACGCTGTGCTGTGTTGTAGGATCTCAGCAGTGCTGGCTCATGTTGAGCGCTTTGGAAGCGCTTTAGAGTTTCCCATGAGCTTCATCTGAAATAACAACCTTCTTAGCCTTCTTTTAGACTGATGTCTCTGAGTTTGCACGATATAACATAACACAGAGTTACGACTTAAGACGACTAAGAACACCGTGAGTGGTTTTTTTTTTTTTTGGACAGCTCCTGCATGTGAGCAAAGGATCCAGACTCGAAATACTTGTCAGTTTCGTCCTGAGGACTTTGGAAATCTGATGTCAGATGGAGATCATGATCATGCATTTAAAGACTTTTGCTCCATCCTGGTAGCGCGCGCGTGATTATAGCCTACACACACACAAACACACGCACACATATACACACACACCCTGAACGTCCAAAATCACACACAGCGGATCTCGCACACTCCAGAAGCCAAGCCTGAAGACTCAAATCACATCAGAAACTCTCTTATTCTGAGGTTTGTGTGCTGTCTGGATGCATGTCTGTGTCTGGCACTCAAATGATCAGAGCTAGATTTCTGTGCGATGCGCGCGCGTGTGCCAAATTCTGGATAAAAAATCATTACCGTTAAAGTCACGCTCCTTTTCCAGCACAGATTTCGGTGGGTATGGTATTATTTATCCAGTATGATGATAGCATTTCCGTTTAAAATTGTAATGCTGTAAATAAAAGTTACAGCTTTATCTTCGTGGTGGGTCGCGCAGAGCGCGCGCGCGTTTATCCTCGCAATCCCACAAAATCCTGATTACATTAAATTATTCATTTGCATCACGTAGGTCGACTTTTGTGTTATAAATGTTTATTACTGTAACATTTTTTTTGTTATTCTCCTCAATTCGTCCCACTCCTATAGCGGGTTTGGTGTTCGCCAGCAGGATTCAGCGCATCAGTACAATCTCAGGCTTCTATATAAACCGGGTTGCCAGATTGTGTCGCCTGTTTTTACTCCACCCCGGTTTGATGACCATCCACTACACCACAGGTTCCCAGCCCTGGTCCTGCATATTTCTGTTTCCCCTCTCCGAGCACACCTGAGCCATCTGATCAGCGAGGGAATAACCTTTCCTGAGTGAGGTGTATTTGTTAGAGGGGAAATACTGTGCAGGATGGGGGTTCTCCATCACCAGGGACAGGAACCTGTGCGCTAAACCATCCTTAACACGATATGACTTATGTCATAACTAAATAACATCTACTGTGTCTTTTTCTTAATCCCCAGTAGGACATGTGAAATCTGGCAACCCAATTTCCTTCGATTATATTCAACCAACATTTATAGGTCTATTTATCATACACTACCCGGAAATTACATTTAAACATGCAGCCCAAACTGTGATAAATACCTGGCCATTATAAACCACACAGTGTAGCTAGGCTACATGATTGTATTTTAAATCTATCTATCTATCTATCTATCTATCTATCTATCTATTTTAATTACATAACTAATTGAAGCATATCTGGCAACCCGAGCAGTTAGGGAAAAGCTTTCGGGTAACTCGAGTTCTCTCATGTCCGGTTTCAGAAGTGAATTTTGGAGAAATTAGAGCTAAATGAGCAGAATGAGGCTCAGGATTGAACTATCAATCACACTAAGAAAAGAAATGAGCAATTTTCTGACTTTTTCTTCGGAGTGAACAGCACAGTGAATGCCAGCACCACGAATTAGCCTATACAGCACACTAAATTCACATAGGCTACATCCGGGGATTATTTTTTGTATACTTTGTGTTTTGTGTATTTATTTGACACTTTGTCGAGGTATTATGTAAGATTTCAGATGGGTATTATAATAAGGTACTCCGGCGTATCCTACTGTGTGTACTCCTTAGGAGGGTAGTATCCTATGCGGTTTGTCGGTTTGAGACACAGCCATATGGCCAGTGCGACCGTTGGTGTGTGAAATGGCTGAGCATGCGCACTGGAGAACTATTTCTGGCACCGTGTTAAATACGGTTGAATGCGGTTTGGGACGTAGCCATGAGACTGGAAAGTAAATTTGACGTTGCAACCGTTGAAGTAAACAGCCTCGTTGGATCGTTAAGAGTGTCAGAACGGCGCATGCGCAGTACTGTTTGCTCTCTGTCCCATTCGGAGCATCAGGTTGAACAGGTATGGATTAGTCACGTGACTGATGCAGTCCAGGCTATGAGATATGAATAGATAAATAGGCTACAAACATTTTACCTGTTTTTGATTTTTTTTTTTCAAATAATGTTCGTATTTGTGACTACTTTTATATCTCATTGATAAATACACACGTTTGTCAAACTATCCTTGTTCCCTTGATATAATTATTAATTTACCTAATTAAAGCTATGCTGCACTTCAGCCTAACTCTAACCTTAAGCTCAATAGCCAAAAGGAAAAATTCTGACTCTTTCATTATATATATATATATATATATATATATATATATATATATATATATTTTTTTTTTAAATGCAAGCTTCAGTTTTTGTAAAAAGCCAAATGTCCCCACAAGATAATATTCTTATCCATGCAGGGACATTTGGTCCCCACCAAGCTATAAAAACATGCCCACACAAACACACACACACACAGAGACACACACACACTCACAATGATGTAAGCTCTCAAATGAACTGCAGGCTGACGTGACTTGACTCGTCTGCTTTTTTGTATCATGTTCATTTCACAAAGCTTTTTAATTTCATCACATACCAGGGAATTATGTTTTCAGTCCAGCCTCTGCATGTTATCA